TATATTGTGTCCTACAAATTTTGTGTCCTATGCATAATATTAATTTCTTCAAGAGAACTATCGACATAGAGAGGTATGGAACAAATTTTTTGTGAACTCTCTCGGCCCTTCGCGTCTTAGGGACTCAGAATTTTCCCTCGATAATAGTTATTGTGCCCATGGGCGTAGCCAGAGTTTTGTTATGGGGGGGCCTAGTGGAGGCCGACCTGACACAAAATTGAATTATTTCAAATTATTGTTCATTATTGGGCACCGAGCAAGCCGTTCACCTTTTTTTTAGTATTCAAAACTTTTATTTTAGCTTTAGGTGTTTACAAATCGACTCAACACTTTTTCGGCTGTGATTTCCTGGGGGGGCACCAGGTTCCCTGGGAGGGGCCGTGCCCACCCAGGCTCCCCCCTCGCTACGCCCATGATTGTACCGTCTATGTAGATAGCCAATAAATCATTGTTTCCTTGTTAAATTGGTTTCCTCTTTTACTCGTATATCACCTGTCACCTTACAGACGGCACTCCTCTCTCCTACACTCAACCAGACCAGAAGAAATTTTAGTCCCATTCCCTCAGAATAAGCGAAAAATTTAAGCCATCTCTGACAAGTGAACAAGTCCCTCAGACTTGAAAGCCGATCCCCGGAGGTACGATGTAGTCATATCCCCTCGGTTTTCACAAAATAGAACTGATGGGAAAAAATGGACCATGGTCTTTCAGTGCATAAGCTTTGTGACATCTATGGTATTGGTTTATCAACTGTTATCATACCACATTTTTGTGAAATGGTTGGCATACCAGCATGGGTGAGACTGGCATGCTGGTTAAACTGCAACTAAAATATAAAGTTAATCAGAGCTAACAAAACCAGTTGTTAATTAAATGTTAAAGAAAACATTCTTCCAAGTACAATAAAATAATAACATTGTAATTTGACTGACTTGTAAACAAAACCTCTCCTCCTGATTTTAAGAAAATAAAACAATAATTTATTGAAATTAGTAGTAGGCTAGTAATAGTTAGTATGGGCCTACACTGACCATCTAAATTTAGCATAATTCACTAGTCAGATTTACTGGAAAAGTAAGGTCAAATTAAAAATTATGATTGTAGAATGTAAACTAAATATTGGTGTTAAAAATCCCATATATTTAATATCAAAAGTTTCAAGATCAATTGTATCCAGAAACTTTAGAAATATCAATAAATAGTATAACTATATCTTGAGTTTTTTAAGCCTTTAGTAGATCATGGTGATAAAAATTAACATTGGGTAATAAAAATGGTGATAAAAATTAACATGGTGATAAAAATTAACTTAATCTTATGGAGAAAAACACATAGTAAACTATGTGTTTTTTCTCCATAAGATTAATTTAAAGATGAATAATTTTTAATAATAAATTAATAATAATGGGCATTTTTCAAATAAGAAATACAGGCATACCTCGACTTACGTCGTTTCGAGTTACGTCGTTAAAAAAGTATATGGAAAAATAAAAATCAAGTTTAAGTCATTTTATTCGACTTTACGTCTGTCCGCCACAAATATGGAAGTCGTAATATCACTAGAAAAACGTTTAAAGCACATAGAATCATATTAAAATATATACAAGTATGTACTGTATTTATAGTACATGCATTCGTAAATTTAGATTACTTTTTTTGTACTATATTAAAAACTAAAATTTGTTTGTAAGCTTAAAATAGATTTTTATTAACCATATATTATTAAAAATGCATTAATAAATAAAATACAGAACCGGGAATGGTAATTTACGGTTTAGCCTAGTGACAAGTAGATTCGGAGACAAGTAAATTTGACTTACGTCGTTCTCCTGGAACCAATTACCGACGTAAGGCGAGGTATACCTGTAATTTTTTTGCAAAAATTTTAGCTACAATTGATATAATGACTAGAAATTTTGAACTGTTTCCATATTTGGTATCACTTGTAAATATGGCTTACAAGTTCATTCAATGATGATGATTTGTTCATTTGGGCAATAACAACTCTGAACCATTTACAATACTGAATTTTGAGTGCTCTTATGATTTCCTGGACCAATCGTTGCTTGTTTCTGGTCCAACTTAAGCATTTCCCAGTCATATTTGCTGGGAAAAACTTAAGTTCTCTGTAAACATTTATCAGGGAGAGTTTTGAAGAACAAGCCTGTCTCAGATGAGTCATAATCATCATCAATCATTTAATCTTGCTAGCAGACAGGAGCAAAGAATGATGTCTTCTTGGCTTCTGTCTTTGCTTTTGTGTCACATTGATCAAAACACTGTTGTGGCATGTTCTAAGGCAATGAGCCAGCTGTTGTCTGCAGAAAAATTTTCAATTCTTAATTGCAAAGTAATTTAGATATTTTTTCAAACATGCAAAAACCCTCCCAAAACAGCTCAGCTCTGTCAATTGTCTTGTAGTAATATTTGCAATTCACTTGACATTCTCACCATCATTTTCTCAATTTGTCTGCATAGAAATGTTTTTTTTAACAATATGGATTGAATTTGGCTCTTGCTGAAATTCTATTTCTGATCTATGCTGATATACTCCTGTCTCTCTTGCAAACAATAGTAATTTGTTGCTTTGGAATCAACTGCTTTGTTAGGTCCATTGTCATTCATTCAGAATAGTCCCAAACAAAGATTTTAGAATAGTTACAATGCTCCATTAGAGTTTCTTGTCATTTAATTCACAAATACAATGCAAGATAACTTATCACTGCTCATGTTTCATCAAAAATCGCCTTAAATTATACATGTCATATTGTACATATCAGGAAATGCTTTAAGCTGATCAGTCTGTTTCACTTTTCCAGCCATAAAATTTTAGTTTTTCTGATTCTCCACAACATGAGAATGTGTGTTGTGAAGTTGCAGCTTAGACATTTCACTAGATAGAAGCACAATCATTTAATCAATATTTAATTGAACATTTTAGTTGCAAGTGGCAGTTTTGTGCAACAGAACTGCCAGTGTCAGCTGTTTGTACTTGCCTAATTTGAGCTTTATGAAGACACTTCTTAACAGATGTAGACATGTAGTCAGTGCCAATCAGAGAGGGGAACAGGAGGGGCAGCTGCCCTGGGCTTCACAATATTAGGGCTTCAACTTTGCAACTCAATATGTTAGACAAAAATATAGGAGAAGGCAAAATGATTTGCTAAATTTTAACATTTATAAAATTAAATTCTAAATTTCTTTAGGAGTAGTCAGAGAGGATTGAGAGATATATCTGATTGGATAGAAGTATATCACCTTGACCAACCCCAGGCTGGAGGGGATGTTCTTCTGGCCAAACACTACACACACCCACACTCAAAAGTCACCTCTTCCTCCATCTCTGAATCCCACACCCAGCAAAAAGGGCATAAAAACAGAGAACGAGGCCTGTTCAGTCAGTTCTGTGCTAACAGTGTTTTACATTACTAAGAGCCACTGCAAACTAAAGCTTTGCAAGAGCAAAACTCTAGCAGACATGTGCTAGCACATCCGATGATGTCAAAAACCCTGCTCCTTTCTTCACGCCCATGCAATTCCCCTAAAATATTAGTTGCCCCTGGCTTTGCATTTTCTCTGAAAGGCCCTGCATATACAGTGGAACCTCGCTTATCATGGACCTTGCATAACGTGCAAAACAAATTGTGAAAAAATGATTCACTTAATGAGCGATGTTTTGCATAATGAGTGATGAGAAGAGGGAAAGTCCAGATTGTGTGCAACCATAAGATGCTAGTGGAATGAGTGCTGTGTTTAGCACTTATTCCACTAGCATCTTAGGGTTGAGTTATAAACTTCATAATATAACCGTATCCATATTTGTAAATGTTCGCTACACTGGATATCTATAGCAATAGTTATAAAATACTGTAAGGCCATTTCCTTATCCTTTAAGGAACAAACTTTTTTGTACGGCTTACGAAACAGTCCATGATGAGATGGCGCAAAATCATTGGCTGATGTTGCCAGATCTAACATTATAATTATTCATTTTATAATTTTTCTATTTTTTTATGACCAAAGTAATTCTTATCTTAAAATTTTATATTATTCAGAAGTAGCATTGTCAGTCAAAAGATACATTTCAACCAATTTGTTGCTTCTGGCACAACTTCCGATTGTATAGCAACTGACGTAGCGCATGCGCAGTTTATCAATTTGCCATATTTCTACCATAAATTTGGGTGGTCCAAACTTTTTTACTGAATACGGTACAATCATATGGTTACGTTACAGAGTTTATAACTTTACCCTTAGTGTTGCTGTGATCACACATTTTTCCAAACTTGTGTTCAGACATATTACATATAAACATCAACAACCATAGCCTGTTATATAATAAACATGCCAAACAATATGCCAAATTCTTGGGCTATGTAAAGGCTATAATTAAATACAGTATAATTTTCTTTGAATACATGTTATATATAAAATATTTGAATATTTTTTCAGTGTGGAATGCATTGTATTTTACATTCATTTATATGGAAAAAATTGTTTCGCTTAATGAGTGTTTCGCATTGCAAGTAAGATTCTGGAACGAATTATGCTCATTAAGTGAGGTTCCACTGTAATTGATGTCTTGACCTCTCTTGACGGACGTACAGTATAGTAATTCTTATTGAGTGAACTTTCTTGTTTGAATTTTCAACAAATAAATTAAATCCAAAAACTCAATATTGTATTCTCTGTCAACTTCTTAAAATCAATTTGACTGAATAATTTTATTGAGATAGTAAAATTTCTGTGTTGGCTAACTTGCCATTACAGGAGTTTGGTGCGTGTTCACATCAGTTTGTAGGAAGCATGTGCACCTTACACCCAAGATGATGGTTTAGGTGATGGATCAGAGCTATAGCACTCAAATATGGTGAACTAAACCTTTATATACTGACTATTCTGTATAAGTTTTTTATATTAGCAATTAAAATATTTTTAAAATTTTGAATATTTTCTATAATCTGAAAGGGACTTTACATGTGGGTTTTTTTTTTTAACAGAAACTTGTAAGGAAACATGGTCAAATGTCTAGTAGAGGGAAGCAATCTCGAGGAAAAGTAAGTTACCTTTTAATTTGTAAAAAATTAATATGAAATTAATTTCAATGTTTTAAATTGAAATTCTGTAAATTAATATAATATTGTACATTATATATTATATAATATACAATATATATTGTATGTGAAAAATTTTTAAGTGTTCTTTGTTCACTATAATTTTTTTTGGAGACCTTCAAAATTAACCTGCTAGTGAAGTGCTGTGAACACAAAAACACACAAATAATTGTTCTATCTAATGCCTTTCATCAAATATTACATGAAAATTTTGTTTAGAAATTCATGCCCATTATCATAATTGTGATCTAAACTTAAGTTTTGGATTATTTTTTGTAATTATTCATCTATAGAATTGATGAAATGAATTTATTACATCTTTTTAAACACAAATATACTAACATTCATGAAAACATGATTAAAACAGTTATGTTTGACTTTGGTTTACCATAGCACTTAACACAGCCATAAGATAGCTGTGGTTTATGATGCAAATAGATATGTACTGTACACATGTAAGTGTTGAGAAAAATTACTGCTTAACTTTGAGGAGTTGATACATGTGATGATTGATTGATTGATCAATAATCATTTCACATTAGGTAACTTTAATATTTACAATAATTCCATTTTTAGATGATTAAAATTAGTAATATGTTTTGAATTAAAATGTTATTGCTTAAAGTTGCGCTAGGTATAAGTTACTCTATAGCCTACAAAAAGCCATTTGGGGAATTTGTTAGCCTTGGGAGATTGCAACTTCACATATAAGATGCAGGGCAAATTTTTTTTGTTCAAAAAGTTGCATCTTACATGCCAAGAAATATAGTAACAAGTGAAAATTATTACTCTCAGGTACCTTACTACAAATAGATATTATATAATATCAGAATATATCATGAAGAGCTATAATTACAGATAAAACAATTTATCACTACAGACTGTAATCACATATTAAATAAAATTAATAATAAATTTAACATGGCCAATGGTAATTTACATTTAATAATACAATAAATATAATTACAACTTTTAACAAAGAAAAAACTTTGCTTCGGTCCTTTCCAGATTACACTTTTATCATACTTTGCCTTTTTTACTACAGAGGCAGTAGCCTAAAAAGGAAGGTCATCTCCATTAGTTTTGTTATTTTATGAACTGCTGATGGTGCAAACAACAGAAGGAAAGGACCGAAGCAAAGTTGTATCTTTGTTAAAAGTTGTAATTAAATATATTATATTATTAAATGTAATCACATACTTTAACAAAATAAATCACATATGTTTTAGATACAGGAATGTGCATATATACGAGGGCTATTTTTTAAATAAGGTCTGTTTGTGAATGAGAGTGAGAATGATGTGCAATTGCAGCAGTGTGCATGAGCATCTGCTTTCAGCATGCTTTGCGTGTGTTTAGATGCCATTTGCAGCCATATCGTCTGTCTGTGTGCTGAACTGTAGAAGTTTATAATGTTTAAGAAAATTAAGTCGCCCACTGACTGTAAGATATGATCTGTTATTCGATTTTCAGCACTAAAGATCATGGTAACTGTCTTTTGGGACAGGAAAGAGACTTTGTTAGTGGATTTTATGCCAAGAGGCACAACAATCAATTCTGATGCTTATTGTGCAATCTTAGAAAACTCCGTTGTGCCATACAAGACAAGTGACGTGGCCTAATGTCTTCCGGCGGTAGATTTCTTTGAAGTCGGATTTTTAAAAATTTTTGAGCGGTATGACAAATGTTTCAACAAAAATGGAAATTATGTAGAATATGGGAAAAAATATATTTTAATGATATTTACAGTATTTTTCTTCTTATTAAAAAACAGACCTTATTTAAAAAGTACAAATGCATCTAAATTAACTTAAAAACATTTTCAGTCACCAGCAGTTTTCTTTCTATTAAAATGTTGTGCTGGAATAAGTACAATTGGTATGTTTAGCTTTAGTACAAATGTAATTAATTTCAAATGAAATTTTAGTACTAAATGGACTACAAAGCATAATTTTCAAAATGTTTGTTTTCAGACACAATCAAATTCTGTAGCTGTTCATAAAATTAGTTAGTCTGAATACAGTAGAGCCTCGATTATCCGATCCCCGATTAACCGCCACCTCGGTTAACCGACCGTCCTAGTCGGCAAATTTCAAATGTCCGCTAGTGATGTGGCGCTACAATATTTGGCTATGTCTGGCTACTTTAATATTGTTTTTACGTGTTTTAGCTGGCAACACTCATTCGACCATGAAAGGGAGCCAGTATTTAAACGAGGTTTAATTTTCTAATTTTTAACGATACAATAGCGACGATTATTATTTTAAAAAATTTTTGTTAGGCTTAACATCAATGAAAATTCAACACGAAGTAGGTTAATAGCGATATACTAATTACATGGGATATAATAATATACTACACTAATAATGGATTTTTTCATACTTTTTGGTTATCCGACTTTTCAATTATCCGACCAATCCCAGTCCCCAATTGGGTCGGATAATCGAGGCTCTACTGTACTACTGAAATTTCTTTCATTGCATTTTGTGCTCTTCAAGACTCTACATGTTCTCTATTAGAGAGAGAAATTTTACCTTTTAGTTGTCAGGTGTCATATCACATATACTATGTAAAAATATAAAAACCTTATATAAAATTTGCATCATGCTGCCAGGGTCATTTTAAACATTAAGTACATTATGCATAGGAAATGGTCTGAAGCCTGGAAAGATGTAAAAAAGACCAATAGTGTTTTACAAAAATATACTAAAATGGGCTTTGTACTGTGGTTAATACCTACCATGCCAGAGCTAGGCTTCAGCTGTAATGGGGTGAAGATTGGAGTGCTAGATTAACCCCAAAACACAAAAGCCTATCCATGGGTTTATATGGTCTACACACTGCAGAAAGCAGCAATAATAATGTATGTCATGTAATTAGGAACTCTTTAAACCTATCACATACTAATGATACACTTTCATATAATTGTTTATCATAGTTATGCTTTAAATTTAGTCTGATATAGCATTTGGCAAATAATGCACTTACACAACTATTGTAACAGTAACTATTCTTGTCAGCCAATTCTTTTGTAAAGATAACAGTGCCATTAAATAATTATATAATTATATAAATAATTATTAATTAATTAAACAATGAACATTATCAGAAAGTGCTCTTTCTGGTAATGCTCATTGTTTGATGTTAAGTTCCCAATAGAGCCCACAATACCAGTGATATTCAAAGAGGTATTACTCATATATTTGAATCTCATATAAGGAGTGACAGAATTGTAAAAATCTGGTTATGGTATAAAAATACTCTACATAAGGGGAGAAAATTAAAATGTTAACCACTTTTACAATACCAATTTCAATAACCAAATTAACAAGATCTATGTTTGTAGATTAGGTAGAGGTTTTCTATTCAAAATTTGTTAAGCCTCTCTTAGGTACAGACGGTGAAAGCAGCAGCATTGGTTTAAGTACAGCCACTGCAATACCTTTTGTCAGTTGCAAAGAACTAATTGAAACTATTCTGTTAATTTGGTCAAAATGCTTTGCTTTTAATACAGCCACCAATCAAACCCACTGTCTTGAACAAGTCATAACCATTTTTGAAATTCATTTTGTATCAGCCAGTCTTAATTGAATTTATAAGTTTGCTTTCTGTTTTTGGGGTTTTCGATTTCTTGAGTTGTCATATTAAATAATTAATAAATAATTTAATTATTTATTAATTATTTAATAAAATAACTAAAATATAAATTATAAACTTGTAAACTGAAACTTTCACATTTGCTTTACAATAGATTTGTTCTAGCACACAAGTCCCTGACCAGTTTGAATTTGAAACCGTATGAGGCACGAGCAATGTCATTTTACAGCCAAGAACTGAACTGAATGCACATGCCAGTTTTAAATCAGTTAGGGACTTGTGTTTGACAAACTTAATATTTGCCAGAGATATTTGCAAGTTAGAATTTTAAAAATACATTTTCTATCACTTTTAGCCTAGGGATAAGATGAGAATATGTTTGGGTGGGGGTGTGAAGTTAGTCTTTTAAAATAAAATACTTGCAAAATATTTTTATAAATTTATTTTGTTTCATCATAATTTCACAATTTCTATGAAAACTGGACAAATTAATAAGTAATCCGGACCATGAATTTAAAAAACTGGCTTGTATGGCTGAAAACCGGCCTGGTGGCAACACTAATCAAACCCAAAAAATCATACAATAAATAAATTCATGTCTTGTATTTATTTTATCATTTGTACTTATTACAAAATCTTACAGATCTAGCAGCATTCAGACAATACACAAATGCTTATAAAAGTATTTGCATCTAACAGTTAATTAAAAAATAACCTATTTATAATTATTGAATGAAATAAATGTTCTTTAAAATGTGAACTTAATGTTTTGTATCATTAACATACACGTTTATTTAAAAATAGAAGTGTCACCAACAAGGGCATATTCAGTGAGGGGCAGGGAGGGGCCCTATAAGAAAAATTAAACTGTAGTAATTGACACACAGCACAGAAGACATCAATTTAGTATCAATTTGAATAGTAAATATTGTGAGTAGATTAGAGCCATCTGTCACAAAATCTCACTTCCCTCCCCACTTCCTCAAAACTAGTATGAGTTGCCTCCCTCTAGTTCAGATCCTGGGTATGCCCCTGGTCACCAAAGTTACACATAAGACAGTATCGGTTTTGAAACATTACTAAAAGTACATACTGTAGTGTCTCTGTAATCTAACACACACCAGATTGGTGAGTGTTGGATTACTGGATTTTGTATGTACAGTACATACAATACAGTAATAAAAAAACCACAACTTGGTTTCCAGGTTTTATCATATTAATCACAATTGTGACTGTTATGTTTGACCACAAATGCAGTGAACAACTGGCAACTGACAGTATACATGTACTGTGTGTCAGTTTCTCTGACATGTAATCAACAAAGAGTAATACAAAAATTTAATTTGCACCACTCTGCAGATCGTTGGACATATCAGACTGGCGAACTAGACTTTATTTTATTGATACTATTTTCACATTAAGTTAAATCTAATCATTTAAACTTTGATTACATAGAAAAAATTTAATATTAAACTTTAAATATTTAATTAATTGAACTTTATGAAAACTTTTTAAATTATAATTTAAATTTAGTCTTGTTTCACAATTGCAATGTTAATGCAGTAAATTGTCTCTTATATTCTGAATGTCTGATTCAATCTTGGGATTTCTTTATTGCTCTTTGTAAATTAATGAAAGCAATATCTGCATATTTCAAATGAACATTAAAAATTTTCTATTTAATTTCAAGAATTTTATAGATTCTAATAAACATTTTTTTTATATTTAAATAATGATTTTTTTTCAAATTGAAAATAAAAATTGAATAGACTCTTTCCATTTATTTTTTCAGAGCCAAAAGTTGTTGTGAATACCCAGTATTTCAAGCACCCAGATTTTGTCTAAGAGCATGAAGTACAGAAAAATTTCTTAGATTGCTTCCCCCGTCGAGTCAAACGATTTATGTCGGCTATTTGCAGACTTTTGTTGTATTGCCTGTCATATCTTGTACAAATATTTTATAGACATTGCTATAGACGATTTTTGTATGGATTCCCTTCCCCGGCCGTATAGAATTTATATCCACTTCTGTCCTTCCCATCCCGATCAAATATTTGTTATACTCCAGGAATTACTAGTCAGATCGAACGAGCAACTGATGTTGCCTTATTTATTGGCTACATTATTATATATGCTAACTGGTCTGGATGGGGTACCACAATGTAGCGCACAATTTAACAGTGAAAGATGGGTACACCATTATTATCCTCGTCTCAAATTACGTTCGGAAATCGGATAATTTGTCAAGTCTCCAGAGGGAAAGTGGGAGGTTAAATTATTGGCATTTGTCCGCGTGGCAAAATGCCAGAATAAATCATGATGGTCACGAACAAATCGTAAGCCTTCGCCCGACTCTATCCGACAAAAAACGAAAAAAAAAAGTCGGCTGGCGATCTTTCCGTTGCTCGAGAAGAACAGCTAGTAGACAATCTCCTGGATGTGGTTCCCAGTTATTCTGAAATACTAACGTGGACCAAACATTTAAGCTTTTGATGAGCTTGTACTACTTGGTATTCCCATCCAGTCAGAATTCAAAATTCTTTTCATCACTCGTTACTGGTAACGATCCCACTTTTCCCGTTCCCATTTTTCAACATACAAAAAAGTCTAGCCATTGGTAATTTCTTCCTTGGGTGTTTAGTTGCATGTTTGTATTTAATGTAGATGGTAAAAAAAGCTCTAGTAAGGTATTCAATTTGTAGACTGGTACAAAAATACATTCTTTAGAATGTTAGCTATTCTATTTCAGTGTCTTTTTCTGGATGTAAAAAAAATTAATGAATTTGCAGCATTCGGACTGCAATTTCATTTAGGTATTCCGGTGGGAGGTTATTTCCACAATGCTATGATTTGACTATTTATCGGAGATGGCAGTGTTAGGATTGATACGGAAACTCTTGTAGATGATATTGTTCTAAATGAATGTTACTGTTAGTGTGTTTTACCCACACTTTTACAGAAGATTTTATTGTGATGAAATGTTATAGCTACCTCCAGATGGTTCAGTGTTGACCCCATGTGATACAAAAGATGAAAATAACAATCTTGCTAATAAATGGTCCAGTTTGCTCAACTGTGATGTATATATCACTTAGTATGTCACAAACAGTGTTCATCACTAAATAAATCTTTTGTCCTGCACACTTCAACTGTTACAAGTGAAACAAAAAAAAAAAAAGAGGACAAATACTGTAATGTGTTTCTATTGCACTTATTTTGGAACAAAGAACTATAAGTTCAAATAGGATTCAGCAGAATTAAGATTATCATGTATAGCACATAACAGAAGTGATTTGTAAATAGGGATGTCTCGCCTTGCATTTGTCACCTAAATGGTTAGATAGAATGTGCCACATGCCGTTGTCATTTCGAAATCCACCTAATTTTTTATTGGTAGTCTGCACAAGTCGTCACGTAATGGGTGGCCCGTTCGACCGCCCCGGTTATATTTTTCAAATTGTCCGTGTCCTACGTAATAAAACCGCAAAACATTATCTGGTATCTGGAGATTTCGTTCGCAATCCGATTACGACAATGAAAATTACAAATAGATAAATTTATGATGTTAAAGTGAATATTTGGAATAATTCTTGGGATAAAACAAGCATGGATAGGCCTTTCTGAAAAGTTTATGGTGTTTATGCAAAGTGTTATTTGTGTGATGTCATTGTTTAATATTTTTTTTTAGTAAAAAAAAAAATAAAAAAGAATATGAATTGTGAACTGTTTTAAAATAATTTGAAAAACACATTTTATGATTATAACATTCCTTTTTGAGATCCAGAATAAACTTTTGAGAAATAACACTAACTCTTAAAATATGACAAGAAGAACTTTGCACTGTCCAAAGCAGAAGCTTGCATTCAATTTCACATTCTGACAAACTGAGACATAAATTTAGTTAAATTTTAATTTGTCAAAAATATTTGAGAAGCCATGAGCGTAAAAAGTGTGATTAATCTTTTGTTACCCATTTTATTTTATAGATTAGATATTGTACAAGCAATTTCTCTCTAGTCTGGCGAAGAGCAGATTTAATCTACATCACTATGTTTGCTGTTATGTGATTTATTAAATGTAATGTTCATGGAATTTTACTTTCTTTATACATAGTGTCCTTCCAAGTAATTCTTAATATACTGAATATTTACTGCATTTTCAGAATTTGTAGTTCTTGCACAGCAATAGCCATATAATGTTCTTGTGATTTTTATTTGTGTTTCATTATACATATTATTTAAGTATGTGTGCATGTGCATTTTATCAAAACAAGTGATGAGATACTGTATATAAACAATTTGCTAATTTACACAATGACATTCCAAATAGTAACTGATAAGAGAATTAACAATTAAGATATTCCATTGTGGTTTATTACTGCACATGTTGTAAAAACTAGCAGTACACACAATTTTCTAGTATTTTTCAGATAATTGTGTGTGTTCTTTATTAGTATTTACAATATAATCAAACTTTTATATTCATACTGTAAAGTTCACATTTCAATATATTTTATTGATATTTTACTTTTGATCATTTGGTAATTTTTAATTACATAAAGTTCTGGACACAATTGAGTACATATCAAGAATTAGACAAAATGTGCAATTTAATTTATGCATTATACTCGAATGCATATTAGTTTAAGCAAACTGAGGAACAAAATGAAACAAAAATAGTTTTTAAAAACATGAATGGAATGATTTGCTTTATAACTTCACATTATTACCAATGTTAAATGTTTTTTCATTGGCATTTAAACACAAACTCATAAAAATTATATATTACCTGAAAAATTTGTCAAAATCAAAATTAATTGTTTCATAATGGAACACTGAGCTTACTATTACTTTATACATTTATCGTGACATTCTCAATTTTTCAAACTGAAAAATGTGCATATTTTATATTAGAATTGACAGGTTTTCACTAATCCCATTCCATAATTTTACAAGAATTTTTCCCTGACAATATCTGTTAGTGTTAATAAATGACTTAGAGGCACTAATGTTAACTGTTCTCTGAATAAAGCAGTTGAAAATGTTTAATTTTTTTATAAGGAAGTTTAATGCATCTTAATTAAAATCTTAATGGCATTTTTGAAAAATCTTAGGTTGCAGATCCTTGATCTAAGCTTGAAGCTAAGCCCATGGGTCTTGCAGGGTACACGAAGAATATTTGTGGTCCAGTTTCACCAACATGTTTGGTCGTCAACATTTGAACGAGTTCAAAGCATATAAACTTCTGAAAAGTCGATTTTTTTTATTTTTACTCTGCAATAAGTACAAAGTGGCACGTTATAGCTTCTTGGGATGTGGGCAAATTAAGGGACCCCCATGTACGGTGCTGACGTCAGACATTTGACATTTTTCTTCGGGGAAATCCCCCAGTTTCCTCGTTCATTTTTTAAAGCGATCTCTGCAGGTTTTAACGGCAATGCAAGGTCTTCAAATTAAATTTAGATATTCTTACAATAGTAATGAGTTCATAAAAGATGGGTACCAGACAATTTGCCCTTTTTGTCCATAGGATAATGTACCACTGTCTTGGAGGAATATAACAAATTTGCTGCTAGTAAGTGATTTTAAAATATATACATAAGGATGACATAGAAAACCAAACTGGTCTACGACTTTCTCTTGCTAATTCAGCAATTTTTTGCCTAATCCAGAACTCGAGATTCAGTCTAAAACAGAAGCAACTGTGAGACTTTCAGAAAAATTGGATTGAAGACTGTGGCGTGCCGTCATTGGAAGCAGTGGATGCGCCGCTTCCCTCGTATTTTCTAAAAAATAAATACATATTACTTTTAATTATATGAAAATAATCGCACATTATTTTATTATAACCGCATTATGTATCTTATTACAAATTTCTATACTACACATGAAAAAAAAAAAAAAATAAGATTGCAATTGTATATTCGAATATTAGTGGCGAGTGGAAGCGCTGTATCGTCAGCATCCAAAAAGCCAGATTCGCGCATGCGCTTTACAGAGCACCAACCTCATCCGGTGGAAGCCTAGGACCTCGGGTGGCTGCTACACATATAACGCATCCAATTCTATCCAGGACCGGTTCTCGGCCGTTAGCCGCCTGCCCGCTAGGTATTTGGCCGCCCTCGCCCGATTACGCGAATCGCGAGTAGATTTATAACTTAACCCAACCGATAGGAATTTACTGGTATGTTTTTATGATAGTTCAGTATAGTTGACAGGAGTTTAAAAAATCCATTAAAATATTTGATATTTTTATTCCGCTCTCCGATTTTATATTACTCACGGATTTCAATGTTAAACCAGTGATATTACGATTTCGTATGTCCCATCTCTAAGGCCCTGTACACACTAGGCGTTTTTCAACGCGCGTTAAACGCTCGTCGAACGCCGAGCTAACGCGCGTTAGCTCGGCGTTTGACGAGCGTTTAGCGGAGCGTGCGCACTGGCTCGGTTTAGAAATGGATGTGGAAGTGATTGCTTGTGTGTGGCTACTCTATCGTCGCTATAAAAGACGACGGCAGAGGCAAAGAGAATTTTGGGTGCACTCAATATTACGAGATAGACTGACGCATGAAATGTTTGCGACGTTGTATCCAAAACTAAGACAAAATAAATTCAAGTTTTTTAATTCTTTTAAAATATCTATAAAATCTTTTGACGATGGTTGGTGTCTTTTAGATATCATCAATAAATAGATCAGTATCGAAATGATCGTTCTCCATTTCAGCACATATATCTCAAAGCGCTCGGCTGACGCCCGCAAAACGCGCGATCGCATGTACGGTAACATGGCAGCACATATATCTCAAAGCGCCCGTAAAGCGCTCGCAAAACGCGCGTTTTAACAAAAATCTATAAGCGCTCGCAAAACGCGCGTTTAACGCGCGCTTGGCTTTTGAGTGTGTACGGCTACATAGAACTCTTGGTTCTTTAAAACGCGCGTTGAAAAACGCCTAGTGTGTACAGGGCCTAAGGGGATGTAGAAAAAAACGTGTACAATTCTTGTACAATGTTAAAAAATTAACCGTTACTTTGGTAGCATAATTTAAAACTAAATTTAATGAATGAGAGAGACGCACGAGGTACAGAAAAAGCTCTAGAATTTATTTTCCTTAAATTTACGATTTATATATCCGTTTGTCATTAAAATAATTTGTCTTTCCACTTTTTCCCGAGACTACAAATATTCGAGTACAAAGTAACCGGTTTCGACTTATTTCTACTTAAGAAGTAGTTAAATAATTAAGAGATTAGGGAATTGGGAACACAAATAAAACCCTGCTGAAAGAGCCGGAATATTTAAACAAAAGCTTAACCGTACCAATCTTTAGCCGAGTACAATGGGGACTGATTTCTTGATAATGTTAGATGTAATTAAGAAAGAAATTTTTCCAGTTTAATGAGAGTGACTGAAAAGTAAATTTTGGAAATTTCCGTGGACGACATCTGGTCCTAAAACGAATTAGTTAGAAAACAAACGACGGACAATTTATTAAGTTTAACATATTTAGATTTTTACAGCTATGGCGAGAAACGTTTAAAATTTACAATAACCCTGTCGCGTTCTTTGAGGTATACTATTGATGCGAATAAACAGGCATTTGAAATTGACTGGTATCGGCACCCTCGAGATTTGGCAGCCTGCGTGCATGCATACACTGCAGGACCGTCTCTGATCCCAATCATTAGCCTCTGGTAGGGAGCAGCAATTTGAATAAGTGGATTGTTTTAAGATTTAAAAAGTAAATAATATTTTATGTTATTTTTATGTACGTTTCTTTATAAAGCTAAATTTAATTATAATTTTCTTTAAAAGTATATTCGTACAATTGAATATTTTATACCAGGTAAGTACTGTACTGTACATCCACCGCACATTTTATTTCACCAAGTAAGTTTTTTTTTTTTTTTAATTTTAGCCCTTATATCGTGGCTAGCGATCAGAATGCAATTGTGATAATAAAAATACATTTAGAGAAGTGTACGGTTTTTACTGGCTTATCGAACAAACGAATACGAATGGACCCTAGACCATGCATGGCCAATATACGGCCCGCCTAATGAATTTATGTGGCCCGCGATCAATGTTTCAATATTAGGTAATAAAGTCGGAATAGCTCGATGAAAAATTCTAACGCAAAAAAAAAGATCAACAACTCGCTGTGCATTTAGAGTTAACCTCCATTACAAATCTCGTAAGTACAGCACAGAATGTTGATAAAGCATGATAATGTGGAAAATGTATCTGTAATCTCTATCTATCAATACAATTCAGTCTCTACGGGGTGACACCATAATGAGATCTCGCACCACCTCAAAATCTTCCTAGGGCAGCCTCTGGTTAGGCCCGTAGAAAAAGTTTTCTTTCCAATTCGGCTCGGGGGCAAAAACTGTTGCCTTGCCCTAGACCAGTGTTTCTCAACCTCTAACGAATCGTCTCTCCCTTCAACGTAGTATCGCCCCCTTCAATATAACCGTTACGTAGTATCGCCCCCTTTACTATAAATTCCGATGCCGAGGGCCAAGGCTAACGCCAAATTCGTACTGCATTGAATAGACTATTGACTAGTATAATGTTATTTGTTTAATTATTGTACGATATAACGAATAAAATATCTAATTATTCTAAATATAATGTTTTACTATATCGCCCAGAAAATTGTTTTTCGCCCCCCAAAATATAAATTGTTACTAATCGCCCCC